CCCTCCTCTGCGGCCAGAATCCTGAGAAATAACAAATGATCAGAAGGAGGAGACATGCCCAAGGTGACACCCCACTTAAGGACAGTGGTGGAGAAACACATACAATGGTAAGATCCCTGAGTGTAGAGCAGAATGAGGTCTCAAGAGATGATCTAGAGAGGCAACATGACCCAGGGGCACATGCTGCCGCAGGTTAAATCCCTGATGGAAGATCTATAGGACATCAGGCAAATCACTTAACCTCTGCAAATGGAGATGACAACATTACTGCCCTCACAGGCTGCTGCAAGAATTGGAAAATAGGCAAGTGTGTGTAGTTATGACTATTGTCACGGAAGGCAGCCCCGGGGCTTTGCTCTACAGTGATTCACGTTCTCACTTCCGGAAGTCCAGAAGGAAGCACTCTAAGAGAAGCCACGGCATTTAAGTTTCACAGGCAGCTTTCATGCATCGGAGCTAGACCCAGTTAGTCTGTTCACCCAGCCAGAAGGGGGCCCAGCTTTCTCATCCAGCCAACATTTCCTCCAAGGACATTAGATTCACCGTCTTATTCCCCTTTGCCTACTCCATATCTTTCTCTGTCTTCTCAGGAATCCATGGAATAATACAACCCATCCCGTTCTCCTCTGTCCCAAACACCTGGCCAAAGACACTGAATTCCAGCCTGGGAACTAGAAGGTCTGGATGGCTCCCTGTCCAGGCCGCCTATAACAAGGGGGTTAGCAGATGGATTCCTCTCTGTGGCCGATTATTTTCCATGGCCCTTGGCCATGTGACCTTGGACCATGATCTTGTCAGTTCTCATAAACTAGCCAGGAGTGGGCTGAGTCACATGCAGAGAGGAAGCCTCTGGGGGAAACGACAGGGGCTGTGGGAGGAAGGAGAGCGGGCTGGGATCCTGAAGGCCATGGGAGCCTCACCCCTGTGCTCCCCGCCTCGGAGCAGCTTTGGCATCACATGAAGGAAAGGAGGAGAGGCAGCGAGCACCCTTAGGAGGATGGCTGGGCTGCAGGTGGGTACTCTTTTCAATAAAATCTGGGGGCTAACTGTCCCTAAGACCTCCAACTTGGAAAAACAGCCTTCCTTGGTCATTCCCTGGAACCCCTGGTTGTTGACACCCAAGTCCCTATTCTCAGGAGCCCCAATACATCATCATAAAATGCATTAGAGAAAAGCTGACACAGAGCACACTGCCCACTCCACTGCAGGCTCGCTGTGCTGGGGGAGGTCAGGTGTGGAATATGGAGGAGAGCGCTGGGCAACGCCCCTGATGCAGTGCTGACCGGGAAGGTGTTCTGGGGATGTGAGGGGAGATGTTTACATTCTGCCAAACACACACTGCAGACGAGGTGCCGAGGAAACCTTCTTATGCTCCTACACTCCAAAAAGGGGTGTTACCTAAACAAACCCCCGAGCTTCTCCGCCTCGCCTAATTTTTCCTCTAAATCATCTTTGGAATTCCAAGCTGTGTGTCTCCGTGGCTTTGGGTCGCAAGTTACCTGGTTTTCTCCAGGGATGCATTTTTACAAGGGATGTGGTTATTCCTGAGTAAAATGCTCAACCATAAACCAACCCTTTCACTGTGTGTATGTTTTAGTTACGTTCTGGGCACTCGCTTGCCTAAATCGTCGGGAGCAGTGTGCATATAAGTGGGTCCATGAGTACAGCACATACGTTCATGCGTCCACACAAGCATGGGCGAAGCAGCTATTTTCATAGTCTGAACTCTATCTTTCAACAAAGTTTAGCTGCTTTCCTTTTGCAAATGCATTTAATTTTATCTGGAAACTTTCTGACGTTAGAAATAGAACAACTGTAGTTTCTCATTATGTTTGCTGCCAGAACCCATGCTTGGTTGCTCACTAAAGACCTTATATCGCTAATTACTACCACATGCCCGGATCCCCAGCGCAGGGGAACTTATTGATTCTGACAGCCCATTCTCTCAACACTGAATTCCAAATGAAAACTCAAATTTTGGCCAAACATAACATTTCATCAATCTTGTTCTACTGACTGGAAAAACAACATCAAACAAAGGGTGCTAATGGCCCTCTATTACCGTGCCTTTCCCGGGCTTATGTTTTCTGATGAAAGATCTAAGTGACCAAAGGGCTCCTTTAAACTACTTAGTAATTAGCTTTTGAACCGGGAAACAATGCGCAAAGTGCACAGTCCCCACGCTGATGACAGAACCTGCTCTCTGTCCGCGGGGTCGGCGACATCGGAGACCCAGCGAGAACATTAAAAGCAAAGTGTGCATTTTCATAAAAGGGGGACAGGAAAAAAGAGAAGGGGCGGGCATATGCGGGCTAGCAGTGGTGATAAAAGATTACAGAGACCTGAGGCAGAACAAAAGCCACAGAAGCCTGTGATCTGAAGTCACCACCGTGAGGGGGCTGGAGGGGAGACGCCAAGGCAGAAAGCGCCGGGATCAGACCAGGCCGGGGGTGAGTGCCTGTCTGAGGGCCTGGGCCGGTCACTGGCCATCAAAAGCTTGTCAGCCCCCAGGCCCACCCACACTGGGGTTGGGAAACTAATTGGGGGTGAAGGGGGTTTTACGTGGAGCAAGAGTCAAGACGTATTTCCAACCTGGACTTCAGGGTAATTGACTTTACTGCCTCCTTCAGGGGCAGGGACAGGACAGGCTGGCTGGGACAGAGAGTGGGAGGCCAACATCGCCCTTCCAGGGGGAAGGCCGTCTGCTCTGTGGCAACCTGCCCACACTTTAAGGCGGAACTGGGAGAGAAGCTGTTTTCCTCTTGGCATGGGGCACATGACTGATGGAATCTCCGGACACATTTGGCCTTTCGGATGCAACCAGCGGCCCAGAAACCAGAGCAGCTTGGTGCTCATCTCATTCAGGCTGTGAGGGGAATAGGAGAGCAGGGCTCCATCAGAGGGAAGGTGGAGGCACGGGCCAGTTCCATGAGAAGGTGCCAACTGGCTCCCTCTCAGCCACGGTCCTTTGTGCCTTTGAAAGAAAACGGGTGTCCTGCGGGTAGTTCAAGACAGTGAACCCTGTGGGTCCCGCCTGCTCATCTTCTGAAGGGAGGAGGACACCCGAGCGTGGGGTAAGCTGGATCCGCCTCAGAGAGGAGGTCCATGCATCTAGCGGGACCACCAGGCAAGGAGGAGGAGGCGGTGAGGATGGAGGGGATACCATGGTGCTGGTTTGATTTTCTCTTAGAAAACAGGATCAGCTAGTTAAGAGTTTACCTGAAAACGAGTGAAAGAAGCCTAGTTCCAGTGCAGGAACTTCTGTAAGAGGGAAGGGGCAGGAGTGATGGAGACGTTCCGCATGTAGATCAGGTGGGAGTGACTGGGTGGGCACACAGGTGCAAATGTCCTGAGCGGAATGATAAAGACGTGCGTGTACCTCTTCTTCATGGGAGTTTAAACAAAAACAAAACCTCAGGAATAAAGCTGAGCCCAAGAAAAGTCCTTTTTAAAAAAGTGATGGATGGTGGCTGCCTGCCCTGCCTCCCTCCAGCAGAGTCCGGAGAGATGGCGGCTGGCAGAACACAGCGAGCTGAGGGCGGGCCATGTACTCAGAAGAAAATCACTGGTGGATCACAGACCCACATATTGATAACGTGATGAACACAAGTTGAAAGAGAACTCATGGAGAAAGCATCCATGTATGGAAGGAAAGCCAAACAAGACACTTGGGCCTTAGCATATGGTGTCCTGACATATCAGAAACGTATCATTTCTTGCCCACAAGGAATTGCAAGTGAGTAATGAGTCCCTGTGAGGATCAGTTCTGTGCCTCCTGTCTAAAGAGAACTGGTTCCCTGGTGCCCATGCCTTATAGTAGGCAAGGTGACCTTGGCCTTGCCTCCCTGAAATTCCTTGCTGGAGTAAAATCTCACGTTACTGTTGCACAGATACCCCATAAAATGGCATCAACTTAGTGTGGGGGACCCGAATGTAACCACCAAGCCAGGTGGTGTGAGGAATGAATGAACATGGTTTACTTGTTAGGGACCAGAACAGAAAATACCACCCCAGTGATACCTACTGGGTTTATATCTGTTACATCTATTCCTAAATCTAGTCCCAGCCAATATTTTTTTAATATATTTTATTGATTTTTTACAGAGAGGAAGAGAGAGGGATAGAGAGCTAGAAACACCAATGAGAGAGAATCACCGATCAGCTGCCTCCTGCACACCCCCCACTGAGGATGTACCCGTAACCAAGGTACATGCCCTTGTCTGGAATTGAACCTGGGACACTTCAGTCCGAAGACTGACGCTCTAACCACTGAGCCAAACCAGTTTCAGCCCAGCCAATCTTTTGACCTAAAGGCTGAAATATCCAAGTCATTCAAGTTATCTATATAACTTGAGTGAATAAGCATGGTCTGGATTGTACACCTTTCCCAGCCCACATTGTAAGCCCCTGCAATTTTCCAGATCCTATTTCCTTTATTTCCTAAAGCAAATAAAGCCCAGTACATGATGGTCATTAAAACAGTTTTTAGTGTCAATTGAGGATATGTCCTGGCATGGCTGCTCAAGTTGAGGCCTGTCCACACTTAACTCGTGTGTGATGGGTCCCACCTTGCACCCCTTCCAGGATAAAGCCATGTCTCTGGGAAAGATGCATGTGGGGAAAACGGTGAATGAGAACAAGGCTGGTCGGCTGGTCCCAGTGCAACAACCCGGTTAACATCACACCCCACCCAGAGCGTGGCCCTTCCCTCAGAGAGATGCCCGGGCGGGTAGGAGAGGGCAGGACTCAGGTGCCGCCACCACAGGGACTCCTGGAAGCCACTCAACCACATCTCTTCTGGTGCCGCCAACTTACTTTCTGCCTCCATGTTTGTTAAAAGTCCCGCCGAATTTATTCCGATTCAGGATGAGAGCGGCAATTTCGGGCACGTAGCGGGCAAACATTGCCTACATGCATGAAACAGAGAAACAAGAGCCAAAAAAAACAATGGCATGCAGAGAGGACCCCGCAGCGGAGGCAGCAGCCCTCTGGATACTTACTTTCTTCCACTAACCGCACTATAGGAGCCCCCGTATTTCTTGCGGTTTCCTATTAACTCTATGATTTCAGGGACGTAGCTGGCAAACATGGCCTGAGGAGGAGATAGGAGACAGAAGAGAGACTAAAAAGACAGGCCCAAGAAAGGGGTGACCTTTTTAGGAGGGGGGATGCTAAGATCTGAAAACACAAAAGGATTAGGACTGCGAAGGTATACACCAATATGCTAGATTATAAATAAAAAATAAAAAAAGGCATAAAAAGGGTAAGCTCCTGAAAATACACAAAGCAAAACAAACATCAGCCAGCCTAGACAACTAAAAAGATCACAGTTGCTTCTGCTATTGCCCAAAAGGCAAATACAAAGAGAAAAACATAAAGGAGACGGGAATAAATAAGTTGACATCTAGCTCTTCTTCCTGAAGAAAAATAAGTAAGAAGGATGCATGCTGGGGAAAAGAAACACTTACACAGACTCACACACACACAAGCACGCACACACATACATACACACACAGGCACGCACACGCGTACTCATTACTGCAGGGAAAGACCTTGCTAGCCAAAATCCAAAGGAGAACCAATGCCTATGGATGATTAAAGATAATAAACATCAAAGGAAGATTAAAATAATACAAACTTTTGCATTTAAAAAAATCACTAAAAAGAGCACACAAGTAAATTGAGGACATCACATGGGAGGACAGGAGAGCAAGGGGAAACACACATCTGCCATGTTTTGTCCAACAAACAAATGCGCCTGTGGCTGGGTAAACCGGACCTCACAGGCGCTGCGGGAACACGTGTGTTGATGTACACACACACTCGTACATTTACATACATTGTTAAATGTATATGCCTTATGCATACAAAACAGAAAGATGAGTATGCATAGCATAAATGTGTGCGTGGTGTACATATGTGGAAGCTGTGTTTGAAGTAGGATTTTAATCATTTACCTCACACACAGCAAAAACTGAATCTGAGCCCGGTTCAGTAGTTGAGAGGTCACGGTTTGATACCCAGTCAGGGCGCATGCCCGGGTTGTGGGCTCAATTCCCAGTGGGGAGGGAAGAGGGGACGTGCAGGAGGCAACCAATGATTCTCTCTCATCATTAATGTTTCTTCTATCTCTCACTCCCTCTCCCTTCCTCTCTAAAATAAATTAAAATTTTTTTTTTAAATCAAAGGTACAATGAGCTGCTTTGAGAGACAAAATGCAGCCACTGCCACTGCATTGCCAAACTTCCCTTGAAAAGGACAACATAACCGGCATTCTGATCTGCATAAAGCAGACAAACAAACAGTGACACTTTCTGACTTAAAGGGGAAGAAAAAACATCCCAGGTGCCACACTTGGTGACATCCTCCTGGACAAGACCAGTGGGCCTCCATCTCCGACATGGGGACCCCATCCTTTTGGGTATGCCCCAGCCACAGTGTTTGTTGGAAGTTTGGGGAGGACTGTCAAGGGGTGGGGAACTCTTGAAACCGCAAACTGTCTATGGAGTCAGTTACCAGGGTCAGAGGACAGCAACTGTCCTTGCAGAAGGTCAGATGCTGAGTTACATTACTAAGGGACAGACTCTACCAAGTGGGCATCACTTTCTTAAGACAAGTAGGTTTGCTCTTGGCTAAATAGCTGACCCTGGCAAGGGCAACACGCCTGGGTCTCTGGGAAACAAGTTAATACACCAAAGAAATATGTAGAAATGTCCCCCTCATGCTCGGACTGACTTAGCCTGTTAAGGCAATCACTTGCTTCTTAGCAGAAACACACTATCAAAATACACAGCTTTCAGGAATGGGTAATAGAAGATATTAATGACCATAAAAATCAGCATCATAACAAAGAGCTTTTACCAGTCCCCCGAGGATGAAGAAGACCATGAAGAGGCGCCCCAGCGTGGTTTTCGCATAAACATCCCCGTAGCCAACAGTGGACATGGTAACCATGAGCAAGTAGACACATTCCCAGTACGTAAGCGCCTGTTGGTTTTGGAAATTTTCCCATGGGTCCCCTGAATTCTCCACCTAGAGAAGGGTGCAGGGGAGAAGAGGGGAATATTATGCTAGAGATAGATATTCTATATAGTAAAAGCCTAATATGCTAAGTATCTGGTCATCCATTCAACCAATTAAAGCACAATATGCTAATGATATGCTAAGGCCACTTAACTGCTCACTATGGTGTACACTAACCACCAGGGGGCAGTCAGTTGGCTAGTTGACCAGTTGCTATGACATCAAAACTGACCACCAGGGGGCAGATGCCCCAACTGGTAGGTTAGCTGGCTGCAGGGATCCAGCTGATCAGCCTGAGCAAGATGGGCTAGACACGCCCTGGAGCCCTCCTATGGTCCCTCCCCAGCTGGCCAACCTCCTCCCACATCCCTCCCCAGCCCTGACTGTGCACAAGTGGGGACCCTCAGCCTGGCCTGCACCCTCTCGCAATCCAGGCTGAGGGATCCCCCACTAGCCCCTTAGTGCACAAATTTTGTGCACTAGCCTCGTGTGTGTGTGTGTGTGTGTGTGTGTGTGTGTGTGTGTGTATAGATAGATAGATAGATAGATAGATAGATAGATAGATAGATAGATAGATAGATAATAAGCCAGGCACACAAAGTTCCAGCAGGATGTGTTGGAGGGGCAGTCCCTCAACCCCAGTGTTGGCTGCCTGGACTGGGTTCTGTGAGGGGCAACTGAGCAGAGAGCAGGGAGTGGCAGGAATACAATCATGCACCAGAAGTAAATGGCCCTGGTCTGTTTTTCCTTCATTGTTGAAGATCTAACACCAGCTGCATATTAGGGCCTCACTCTGACCTCACTTTATGGCATTCCCATTAAGGAAGGGGCCAGAGAGCCCTGCCCTGCCCTTTCTCAGCAAGTGTCTGCTCAGTCTCCCAGCGCCCCATTCACAGGCTCCCAAAGAAAGCCTAGGGCCTCCCGCAGAGGGTTCCTCCTTCCATCATCCAGATCTCACGCCCAAACCCCCAGCAGCATCTCCTGGGGTCTGGCTCGGCTCCCTGCTTTGCAGATCCTCAGCACTGGCTCCACCCTGAGAACCGCAGGCGGCTCCTCGGAGCACGAAAGGAGGCCCATGAGAACAGTTTGCTTTTGCACGACTCTTTATGCCTAGGGAGCCAACATTTTCTGCAGAAGGCCAGAGAGTAAACAAATGCTTTTAGCCTTGCAGGCCATGCGGTGTCTGATCTCTGTAGGGACAACTCGGCTCTGTATTGGTGGGTGAAATAGGGAGTGGGTCAGCTTTGGAGGCCCAGGTTGTAGTGTGCCCGTCTCTGCTTTAAATGTCACAAACACTTTCAGTCAGTCCTCTCATGACAGCTGATCTGCCAACAAAGCTGGGAGACAGGCAAGAGAGGTATTGCAGATACTCTCAGGAGAGAGGGAGAGATGGTGGCTGGTTCTCCCTGACCAGTATCTGTGATCCCTCAGTGTGGCCAGTGCGAGGGCAGGCCGCAGGCCCACAGGCCCCCAGGCCCCAGACCTCCACCTCTGCCTCTCCAGAAAGCTCCCAGAACCTGCCTGGTCCACACATCACCTGTCCTCAGCTCACACATCGCCTGCCCTCAGTTCACCATCACCTGTCCTCAGCTCACCATCAACCATCCTAAGAGCATACACCCATCCTCAGCGTGCCCGTTCTATAGAAGGTCCTGGTGCTGCTCACAGCAGCCAGGTGAGGTCACTGGCTATGGAAAATGACTAACCCTCCCTATCTGTGATGCAGAATTAGGGTGATCATCAAAGGGTGATTTCAGCCAAGAATCCCATCCGCATAAAAAGGTAGGTGGGGAACCTTCAGATCTAATGACTGAACCAGAGCCTGGCTTCCCTTGGGCTGTGCTCCATGAGGGGAAAATCACACAAGTCCTTATGGTGGGCAGCCAAATGCCAGCTTCCACCCCTGAGGCAGAGAGGGGTTCAGCTGGGGAAAGCTTCAGAGCCAGATAAGGTTCTCTCAGGGGTAACAGTTTGCCTTTGTCTCAAAGAGGCTCCCTACAATGGCTGTGTTCCCACAAGCAGGAAAAGTCTGCCCTGAGGAGGTGAGAACAGCTTCACTTCTAATACAAGGCTTTTAAAGAATCGCTCATCCATAAGAATTCACATTTTTTTGAGATTCAGAATAACTTGACAACTCATTAGGCAAGAGAATCAAAGGTGGCTTTTTGGAAGGGGGAAGAGAGAAGAAATTGAGGGATCTGAATGTGTTGTTTACAAAGATGTGGGGCAAACTTCCAACCTTGTCCCCAAGATATTTTCAGGCTTTTTGCTGAGGGAGCATTGCCATCTTGTGGCTCATTGCGGGTATTGCAGACGGAGTGAAACTACCGAAGTCCCAGGGCACAACTTGGGAGCTGGAAAACGCAGGATACTAGTGCAAATTTTGCTCACCGCTGGAACCAGTTTGGGGTAAAGGGTTGGGAACCCAGACAACGGTGCAGTTGCTTCTTCTTTTCTTACGCTGGACGGCTGGGCTTAAGCTTCTCCACAGTGAGAAACAATGCAGGTAACAAAAAGACTCAGAGGCTTGTTCCAGGAAAGCCAGAGCTAAGGCATCTAATCTGCGAGGCTACTTACCAAATGGATGAACCCGGCTGCGGTGAGCCACGTGCTGATAAAGATGGAGAGCAGATTCACCAGCTTGATGGAATTACTGTGCGGAGACAACAAGCAAAACCCCGGGTTACAACACAGGTTCCTGCTGGGGCTGCCTCTTCAGCAAACAGGAAGCTCACCCCAGGCTCCCAGTGCTCCCCTCACTCCCAGGGGAATGTCTCCGAGGTGGCATAAGTGGGCCTGGCCAGAGCCTGTAGGAAGGTCACGTCAGGGCTACTGAAAGGTGCCCCTAAATTAGCCCTCCAGTTGTACTTAAGGTTTTGTGTGTGTGTGTGTGTGTGTGTGTGTTTAGTTATTGTTAACTTTTATTTTGAAAGGCTTTCAATCAAAAGGAATAATCACAGAACAGTATACCAAGCCTTGTATGCCCTTCACCTAGATTGACTAATTAAGATTTTGTCCCATCATTTGCTTTTCTTTCTTCTTTCTTTCTTCCTTTTCTTTCATCTATCTATCATCTATCTATCTATTTTATTATTTTATTTTTTGACTGAACCACTTACAAGTAGACTATAGACATCATGATTCAACCCCCTAAATCCTTCAGCATTCAACAGCCAAGACGGACATTGTGCAGTCCAATCCCAATATAACAAGCTGTGCCTCGGGGAGTTAACAGGAAGTCCTAAGGTCCTGGAATAGTGCTCCCTGTTTCAGTTTCCCCATGTATATGTTTGCATTTTTTTTTTCACCCTAACCCAGGAACTAGCCAAGATACATGCGTTGTGTTTGGTTAATATGTTGCTTTAATCTAGGGGTCAGGAAAGTTTCTGTAAAAGGTCAGGCAGTAAATACCTTGGGTGTTGCGGGTCACTGAGTCCCCGTGACAACTCCTCAGAGTTGCACAGTAGGATTAGAGTAGCCTGAAGCTCATGGAAAGGAACGGATGCAGATGGGTGCCAATAAAACTTTATTTACAAAGCTGGCATGGGCTGCCATGGGCTATATAATTTGCTAATCCCTGCTTTATCCTTCTTTCACCTATAATCTACTTCCTTTTTTGTTTGTTTTTACTGGCATTTAATTTCCGTGCACCAGTTCAGCTCTCTTATAGAATGCCCCATGTTGTGGATTTGTCTGATTGGTTCTCATGATTAGATCCCGTTTTAGTTCTTCTGTTAAGAGTATCTGCCTCCGATGGCATCACATCAGGAAATCCCAACTCAGTCACACTGGTGTAGTCACTTGGTTACCATGGGAATGTCAGATCTCTCCAGGAAAGGTGCCCTTTGTAATTCATCTGCAATCTATGCCCTGAGACTCTGAGACTGTATGAATATCCTGCTCCCCAACAACCTTATATCTAACTACCCCTGTTTCCCTGAAAATAAGACATCCTCCGAAAATAAGACCTAGCACAACTTTGGAAGAAAAAATTAATATAAGACACTGTCTTATTTTCAAGGAAACAGGGTAAAAGCTTAGGGCCAAAATCCTTGCACTAATGGGATCCCTAGCAGCTAGTTGCTGCTGGCCAGAGCCTCCCTCCCTTCCCCCTGGCCAATGGTCAAACTCCCTGGTCAAACTCCCAGACAAACTCCTGGTGGAGGGAACAATTTGCATACTACGCTTTTATTATGTAGGATAATGTCAGCACTCATCTGTGTTCCCTGAGTAAGTCAACTGGAACCTACTACATTTTAAGCTCCCTGAGAGGAGCCTTGTCTGTCTGGGTCTCAGGAGCAGAATCCCTGACACACAGTAGGGCTTCTATGAGTATGTACTGAGTGAACTGGTCTCTTCCTCTGCCATCTCTACCCCATTAAGCTTAAGGGTCATCCTGTCCACTCCCACTGGAAAAGAGCTTCTTGGATGCTCCTGCCAGCAGGCCGCTTCCTGCCCACAGGCTCCCCACTAAGTGAAATGCTGCGCCCCAGCTCTGTCCTCCCATCTCCAGTGCCATCCGAGGCTCCAGGCTTTTCCTCCACACTCTGCCTTCCTGCTCACTGTGCCTGTTTATTACTTGGTAGGAACGTCCTCCCCTTCTACCCAAGTCTTTTCTTCAAAACCGGGTTCAATCCACCTCCCTCTGCATACAAAGTGGCTCCTCCTCTTGGCTCTTACCACTCAGCCACTTGGTCATGGATCCCACTGGCTTAGACATCCTTTGCAATGTCTAATGGATGGCTATTTGACTCTGATCCCTAACAGAATCCTGTAGGAAAGAACTCTATTTCTATCTCTTTCAGTCCCCCCTACCAGTCCAACACCACCCCCAGGTGGTTCACCCATCATTCTTGATTGATCTCTGACTCTTCCCTACTCTCTCTCTCTCAAGGGGAACCGTTTAAATTCTAAGTGTTTAAGATCCTAGTAACAGTAAAGGCTAACACTTTTCTATTATGCACCCTGCCATTCTAAGTGTTTCACATATATTAACTCATTTAATCTTCCTAATGACTCTATGAGATCATCCAGCAGTCAAGAAACTGATCCAGGTTCACACAGCAAGCAGCAGAGTTGGAATCCGGATCCAGGCCACTTGGCTGCAGGGTCTGCCCTCTCGGCCACACACTACAGAGCACCAGTCACCTTAGAAAGCCTTCCAGATTGCTAACAAAACTGTGCTGCACCCACACTCTGAGCACAGGAGATGCAAAAGGGTTGGTGAGTCCTGCCCCATGGGGGAGTCTGTCTCAACATATCGATTAACCTCTAGACCTGTCACAGAAAAGGATGGAGAGGACAATTCTGGCTACCACATCTCTCCTGGGGCCCCACGTGGGGATGTTGATGGGGGCTGTGGCCCATGGGGTAGCCAGGGTTACAGGAGGAGCCCGCCTTGGAGGTCAGTGCCAGGATGGGCATGATGCCAGTGCCCAGCTTTCCTTTTTTCCTTCCACCTCTTTCCTTTTACATAACTGAGCAGAGGATCATGGTCTTAATTTTCTAGAGTTGGTTCTGACAGTTCAGGAAAAAGAATGAGCATATATTTTTCACTTTTGTGGGCAAGACTGATCTTTGAAGTATGTACGACAACTTCCTTATGGTTCAAAACCAGACTAGAAAAACAACAAAGCACACTCTATCTTTCTTCGTCATTTCCAGCTTGCCGGATCACAATAATGGCATACAATAATGGCCAACTTTTATGGAGTCATTATTATGTGCTAGGCACTGTGTTGAGCTCTTCATTTTCTTCAGAGTTTTCCATCTATACAGGGTTTCCTTGGATGCTATCACTGTGCCACTACACGGGTAATGAAACTGAGGCTGGTGAGTAAGCAGCTTCTTGAGGAAACATGGTAGTAAGTGGTGGGGGCAGTATTCAAACCCAGGACTGCCTGACCCAGAGCTGCTGACCTAAGCATCTTGGAGGGGTAGTGCAGAAGCATCTTTCCTTGATACTTTGCTTACCCTACATCTCTTCCTCGAGGGAAGCACTGTGGATGGGCTGGGTGTCAATCAAAGGCCCCCACCTGTCCCTCCACTTGAGTGGCCTGAGCCAGGCTGACCAATGGAGGCACTCCCAGTTCTAAGAGCAATGAGGTAGAGACTATTAGAAGCTAATAGTTTTCAGAAGCTAAGCAGGGGAAAAAAAAATCTTGCTCCTGAGACGTATGTATGCTCTAGCGGCCACCTGCCCTGAGCAAAGCCTGTCTTGAAATGAAATCTGAAAGACATGGAGATAGAGACAGAACCCTGACAAGAGCAACTGAACCCCTGAATCTGACATGCCCAGTTCCCTTTTGGAACCACTGTCAATCAAGGCTAGTGCGAGGTGGACTCTGACACTTGCAACTAAAAACCATGTGCCTACAATAGAAGGGTTGATATCCAAAATGCTCTTGGAAAACCCCAAACCAGGTCTGGGACTGTCCATCTGTGGAAAGAGGGTGGATCCTGCACCACCCACTAGTGTGCTAACCAGTTAATCCCATGGCCCTGGAAGTTCTGCTATGAGTCTAGCACAGATCTGCCAAATCCTGGCCTTCATCCCTTTTCTGGACACTAGCTGCCAGGGCTCATGCCTCACCTCTAAGTAGCTGTGAAGGAAGACCCCCAACCGGCCCTCACAATGTGTAAAAACTCCCTTCTAAGCCTCTCCCTAGGGCTGGCAGATACTGCAGCTCCTGCCTTTTGTTCCCCAGAGCAGCCAGCCAGCTTCCTCACTGGCCTTGCAGAGGCTTCTCGCTGTGGAAGAACTGCCACCCCACCCAGATATCTGCAGAGTGGAAAGAAGGCACCCACCCAGTGAGCAACAGCAGGGGTGGCAACCCCAGCAACCAGCGTGCTGAGGACATTGCAACGAAGTCACATCTCAGCCTGTCCCCAGTCCGCTTCTCAACAGGAAGCCAAACCGGACAGAACGCTCCCGCCTCTGCCTGGTGAGCCCATAGGGTGCACTCCCACGGTGGAGAGTGAGAATCCTGTGAACAGGTAGCCAGTGGCACAGGGAGAGATCTCAGGGAAGCAGGTATAGTGCATTTTCTCAGAGGATAACTAAGCACCAGGTTGATGCACATAGACCCTGGGGCCAGAACAAAGCAGTGTCCCACCAACAACCGTGTAGAACCTCTTGAGATATTAAAACTCTTGGAGTCTCTGAGCCTTTTGGTGCTTTGGGGGGGGGGGGGACGGGGGAGGAACAACCTAAATACAGTGATAATCCATCTTTAAATGATTAGTCACTGCAATATTAATACTGCTTCAGGGGGCTGTTGCTGTGCATAGAACATTTCATCCTTGTTGCTGAGAAAGTCCGTATTCAGCACTGAAATCTGATTCCTTTTAGTATCAGCATCATTACAGATCCTCAGTCTTAGGGATTTGTTTTCCAAATGAAACTCCAAGGCCAGGCACACAGGGCTCCTTGGAAAAGGGGGGAGGGGAGGTAGCAGAGATGGGGCTGTGTGCCCTGCATGGCCAAAGAGGCCTCTGGAGGTAGTCACAGGCTTCATGGCCAAGCCCACGGCTCTGAACCAAGCAAGGAGTTCCCAATGGTTAGAACAGCTGGCACTTTTCAGATCCCAGCCAACTTCCATGCCTCGAGGGAGGAATGGATTGAGATCTTATTATGAGAACCTGACTCATCTG